GATGTGGGACTCGATCCTGAGACTCCAGGATCATGACGTGAGCCAAAGGCAGTCGCCTAACCAACTGAGCCACCCAGGCGCCCTTTGTTTGCCTTCTTTATGATTTATGAAAGTTGGTAAATTGGAGGAAATTGGGTAACGCGAGAAAAAAGTAACCAAGGGAGAAATGGGTTGAGTTGGGTTATCAAAGAAAGAGGTACTCTAACCTAAATCCATGATTTGGGCTCTCATTAGCTCTGTACTCCGTTGAGTCCTAGAGGGGCGAGCTAGCTCCTTCCTTTCTGTACTCCTCGTCAGCGATCAGAACATTGCCCGGAATATAAAGGGCGCTCAAATATTTGAGGAATGAAAGAACCAGACAGGAAAAGAAGAATATACTTATGAGCGAGCGGGCTCGGAGAGGCTGCAGTTCCTCCCCGGGGCAGGAGGCGGCGCCAGCGTTACACCAGCCCGGCCGCCGGCAGTTCTTGGTCCCTCCGGCTGACCGTCCAACGCTAGGCCCCCGAGGCCGGTGCAGTAGCTAACCAATAGAAGGCCGTCTTAGTTGTGGGGTCTGGCAGAGATGCCCAATGAACGTAGCGGGTGTAGGCAAGGGGCGGTGCGACGGGGAGGGGCGGAGGGAAGCGGTTAGAGGTGGGAGTTGGCGTTGCGGGCCGGGAGGGGCCGTGGAGCTGCGATGCGGAAGGGACCGCGGCGGTGACCGGAGCTGCCGCCCGACATGAACTCGCTGGAGCAGGCGGAAGGTAGAGTGGGTCTCCTGGGTCGCCCGGGCAGTACCGGGCTCCTCCCGGAAGCCGGCGAGGCTCTGAAGGGGCTGGAGTCGCGGAGACCCCGCCCCGGGCAGATGAGGCCGCGAAGGATGGACTGAAGGGGCCGGGACCTCGGGGGCCGCGGGGGCTGGGCCGAGGGGCGGCCGGAGGCGGCCGGACTCTGGTTCCGGCGCGCGCGGCCTCTGCGGGCGCTGGGGGACGTTGCGTCAGCTTTCCCATCCCCCCAGCCCCGACCGGGAGCCCCTCGCCTGGGCTACTTTGTCTTTTATTCATTGGCAAGCATTTTGTGCTTTGTGTATGCTAATTCACTTAATTTTATTTCGATAACCCCGGGAGTTGTATCCTAATTCCTGTTGTGGTTTCTGGTTAACTGCCACAGTAAGGGAGGGCCGCTTGATCTCCTTTTAAAGTTTAGAAGACGCAACTGTGGAATGATAGCCCACCTTGCTCACTCGGGAGCACCTCGGACGCCCTTTTTAGAAGGCCTCCGAGCTTGAGCTCCAGTAGTGCCCCGAAGATCACCTGTAACCCGTTCTGTGGGAGGAAAGGGGAGTGTCCACACCCACCCGTTAACCGAATCAGAAATCCAGTAAGACTAGACAGAAAGCGTAGCCATTAATTAAACCTAAGGGCTAGAAATCGGAGTCGGGTCATTGCGGTCAAACAGACCTCGAAGACTTTGATGTTAGGGAATACGTTGTTCTAATAGAAAGTTCTTGGTTCCAACAGAATTAAAACTCGACCTGATTTTGATCCTTTTATTTGCAATCCCCCAAATTCTAGCTTTTGGCGCCGGCTGAGGCTGCTGCTGATTTTCCACATACCATTTTACGAAGCTTCTAAAAGTGAACCAGCCAGTTTCCTTATATGTGAAATTGGAATTAAAGAAACCTAATGTTTTTGTCAAGTGCTTAAAGCTGTCATAGTAAAGGAAGTAAACAGTGCAGTGATACATGTAAGTTGGTGTGTAAGACCTGAAGCAGTTAGAGTATCTAAAATTTCATCTTAATGGATGCAAACTAGTAAGAGTGGCTAATTGGAAAATTGAAATCTTTTTACCTAGATCTCAAGGCATTTGAGAGGAGACTTACAGAATATATTCATTGTTTGCAACCTGCCACTGGACGTTGGAGAAGTAAGTTCTTGAATGTTTCTTTAAGGCAAAATAAACTGACAATTGGTACTTTTATCCCTGCCTGGCAATGATTTGCTTTTGTATAAAATCTTTTACTGACAAACACTCTACTAAACTGTAAGATTTCCTTTTGTTTTGAGAATTTTTAAATTTATTTAACTTTGTAAACAACGCGTCCTAAAGAAAAAAAAAAACTTTTCTAAGATTTTATTTTTAAGTAATCTCTGTACCCAGTGTGGGGCTCGAACTCACAACCCTGAGATCAAGAGTTGCAAGCTCTACCGACTGAGCCAGCTAGGCACCCGGACCAAAGAAATCCTAAAGAAAAGGAACTGGTCGTGCTAAAAGAACTATTTCATGTGGTTGGATTTTTATTTTTCCTTTAAAATACATGGCACTTCTTTTTATTAAATACTACAATATTGTTAAACAACACACATAATAATTTCAGGAGGTTTTTTAGCAGTTTTACAGTTGGCCTACAAACTATCGAAATAAAGTTCTGTTGAGGAAAATCATATTTAACACATACTCGCAAAAGTTACGAAATTACCCTTGGTTGATTTTAGCAGAGCATGATTATGTTGCTTTGCAGCCTATCCTAATAAACAAATTCGCATTATAACTGTTCAAAATGTCATGAGTACTACAAAGTATGATTTGAAAGAATGGTGGTTATTGCCCTGTGGAAATACTTAGGAAATGCAGATAAATACACAGGGGATGACCTCAGCAAACAAAATGCTTTGCTAACTTATGCTGGGACCAGTCTTAGTTTCTTGGATGTGTGTTATTGAAATTTAATTCCTGCCAAGAGGAAAGTACAACAGCACATGTTGAAAACATGTTTTATTTCAAAGTGTAATTCAGTTTGTGGGACCAGAGAGCACTATTGAAGTTAGGAGTCTTTTTCTCTGTCAAGGATTTTCATGATATTTTTATTAAATCTGTCTGCAAAGTTTTATTTGTATGCTGCGAGAGTTCTGGTTGGTCAGAATTTACAAGTAATGATATTTTCAGGTTCTTTGGCTTAAGGGAGGAATTACCCCTAAAAACTTATTTCACTGCTACTTGAAAATCTTTTAAAATGTATATGATGTTGTGGCATCTTACAGTGAACGTACTTTATTTTTTCTGTGATTCATGGTCTCAGTGCTTACATATATATGACATCAGCTTGGTTAATGTACCAGTCAAAAGTTTGTGTATGAGGTCCCTACCAGTGGGTTTGCTTTTGCTTTTGCTTCATTTTTCAAAAGAAAAATCTGCGTAGTATGATGTATTTCTTATTGGAAATACAGCATTATAAGGAATTGAGTTTAATCTGTTCTGAGCTGAGAACGTAATTTTGAAATTTTGATACTATACTTAAATACCTAAATTGAGATTGTTTTCCTGTGACTTGCCTCTTCTAAAAGTATATCGCCAGGAATTCTAGATAAAGTTTTATCTAGAATAAAGTTTTATTGCTCTGTGAATCTTGATCTCTATATTTTAAAACTGTATGTGTCCTAACTGAAGGACAGTACCTTGATACCCAGAATATTAACTAGGTCTCGGTGCCCCTTTATTATTTTCTAGTAGTACCATTTATTCCTTTTTTTATTTATTCTTTTTTCTTTAAGATTTTACTTATTTTTTTAAAACCTTTTTTTAAAGATTTTATTTATTTGTCAGAGAGCGAGAGAGCACAAGCAGGGGAAGCTCCAGGCAGAGGGAGAAGCAGGCTCCCCACTGAACAAAGAGCCTGATGTGGGACTTGATCCCAGAACCCTGGGATCATGACCCGAGCCAAAGGCAGATGCTTAACTGACTGAGCCACCCAGGCGTCCCTAAGATTTTATTTTATTTATTTTTTTAAATTCTTTTTTTTTTTTTTTTTAAGATTTTATTTATTTATTTGACAGAGAGAGACAAGTGAGAGCAGGAACACAGGCAGGGGGAGTGGGAGAGGGAGAAGCAGGCTTCCTGCCCAGCAGGCAGCCCGCCGAGGAGGGAGCCCGCCGAGGGGCTCGATCCCAGGACCCTGGGATCATGACCTGAGCCAAAGGCAGACACCCAACGACTGAGCCACCCAGCATCCCTAAGATTTTAAAGTAATCTCTACACCCAACGTGGGGCTCGAACCTACAGCCCTGAGAGCAAGAGTCACACACTCCACCAACGAAGCCAGCCAGGCACCTCTGTGTCATTCATTCTTAAGTTTTGTTTAGGATCTATTTAGAATTCCTAAAATAATTCTAGCTTAATGGGGAGAAAAACTTTCTGAGTTCTACCATCAGTAATTCCTACCCTGATCTTTCTTTAAGTCTCTGAAGAAAACCTGGTACCGATCCAGTGTGTTCCACGTTCTTGACACCAGCCGTTGTTGAATTCAACAGCAGGCAGTTGTCTGTGAGGCAAAATCCTCTAGTCAGGATTTCTCAGTGCATTCATAAAAGAGTCATTGTTTGGTTTGTTTATAGTAGAAAATGAGAGGTGTTTTTTGTTTTTGAATTTATAAGATCTGCAAAATCAGCACAAAGCACATCGAAAGTTCCTACTGCTTTTAATTTCATTTATCTTTGTAAGTTCTGACTAAAGTAATAATGGGGACAATATCATCCTCAATTACTAAGGTTCGTAGTATTTAAGAGAATTCCTCAAGGTTGTACAGCAGGTTTCCTAATTCCTCAGTCGAATGCATTTTCTGTTTAATAAAGTGCTGCATCCTTTGGCTGTCATTGATTAGGAACTGGTGGTATTAGTATAAATTTATTAACAGTTAATTCCTTACTAATTTCGTGTTTCTCTTTTATCAGTGCTTCTTATAGTGGTATCTGTCTGTACAGCTACTGGTGCCTGGAACTGGTTAATAGATCCCGAGACACAAAAGGTAAAAGTTTCGATTTAAAATCTTTACTGGATTAAATGAGATAATGTAGCAGTGCTTTGTTCATTGTAGAGTATTAATCACATGCTACCTATTATTACTAGTAGTGATATTGATCATTATATTAAATTTTTGTCTTATATTAATTTGCTTAAGAAAAATTTTGATTGTTGTAGATTATCTTTTTTTTTTTGAAGATTTTATTTATTTGACAGAGGGAGAGACAGCGAGAGAGGGAACAACAAGCAGGGGGAGTAGGAGAGGGAGAAGCAGGCTTCCTGCTGAGCAGGGAGCCTGATGCAGGGCTCGATCCCAGGACCCCGGGATCATGACCTGAGCCGAAGGAAGACAAGCGTCCCAGGCGCCCTAGATTAAGTATCTTTTACAGGGAAAAGGCCTAAGAAATACCCCACTTACACTACTTCTCATTCATTTCTGAACTTCTTGCATATCTTTTTACATTTCATATTCACACTTTGTACATATTTCAGTGTAAAAATTGTCTTTCTTGTCTGTTGTTCATTTAATATCTTCTGTGCCAGCTTTTAAAAATTATAAAATACCATTTTCTTTCTTTTTTTTTTTTTTTTAAAGATTTTATTTATTTATTTGAGAGAGAGAACCCAAGAGGGGGTGGGGTCAGAGGGAGAAGCAGACTCCCTGCTGAGCAGGGAACCCGACGTGGGACTCCATCCCAGGGCTCCGGGATAATGACCTGAGCCGAAGGTAGACGCTTAACCCACTGAGCCACCCAGGCACCCAAAATACCGTTTTCTTCTATGGCTTTTGGTAGTACCTTTCGTCATCCCACAAAGCATTTGAAATGATTTTGCAGGAAATATGATAAAAGAGCAAAATTTTAATGTAATAAAACATCAAAATGGGGGGGGAAGGTTAGACTAGAGGGTCAAAAACAGGAAGGAAACCGGGTCACAGACAAGGCCATGTGGGCCACCACACTTGCCAGAACTGAGTTATAAATTAGTCTCTGTGTTACCTAATCAGTAAAGTCACAGCTAGTTCCATTATTTTCCCTCTCTGTGAAAAGAACACATGTATGAGTTCCATAAGCTAGCAAAGATTTTGTTCTCCGCATTTATCTTTTTTTTTTTTTTAAGATTTTATTTATTTGAGAGAGAGAGAATGGGAGATAGCACGAGAGGGAAGAGGGTCAGAGGGAGAAGCAGACTCCCCGCTGAGCAGGGAGCCCCACGTGGGACTCGATCCCGGGACTCCAGGATCATGACCTGAGCCGAAGGCAGTCGCTTAACCAACTGAGCCACCCAGGCGCCCTCCGCATTTATCTTTAAAAGAAATTTCCTGCCTGAAATTTATTATAGGAAACACTGAGAGAGCTCCCATTGGGCACTGTACAAGAACATCCCTATACCAAATGCAATAAAAGATTTCATAATGTTATTTCTCAAAGCATCCTTTGATCAAATCTGATAGCATGTTTCTCAAAATTCTACTTCTTTCTACTAATTTGTGCCTTAATTTCAAACTAAGGTTTTTTTATTAGAGAAGCAGTAGTCTCCAATTTTTCAGTGAAGTTTTTTTTTTGCCTCAGTGCAGCTTTATTTAGGTAATAATGATGTAAGTTTCTCAAATCTCAAACCCACATCCTTTTTTAAACTATTAATTAGGTAGACTACTTCCAGTAGCTTTATTTATAATCTGTTAGGTTATACAGAAGAAAAACCTAATAGCAAAGCTTTTGTCGGCAGTCCAAATGGCAATTCAGGCAGCCAGGATTTATTTAGCATGTAGTCTCCCTGACTTTATCCATTGGGGTGGAGATATAAAAGAATAGGAGGTAAGGGAGGTTGGTGATGGAATTTTACGTTAATAGAGGGGTTTTTATGGCAGATAGGAAATTCTTTCTCTTGTGTGTTCATTTATAAAAGTCAGATCTTAAGGCTGTGCTTGGTGCTCATCTTCAGGGGAAGAGTGAGGAGGCTGGCAAGAAGATTGAAAAGGTCTGTCTTGGGAATGGAATCTGACTTCTAATTGGGAAAAATATAAGCTGATTTCAGCTAGTTGAGATCTTAATAAAACACAGAATTAAATGTAATTTGAAATAGACCCAAAACTCTGTAGTTAATGTAATTTTCTAAATTAGGTGAGAATATAACTATTAGCCTAAGGGTTAACTCTTTATTTCAGTATTTAATAACCTCAAAGCTGATAGGGGCTTTAAACAGCAATTGTCTCTAGCAGAAGTTGCAAACTCAAAAGCCAGTGCATGACTATCTGGAAGAACCCAAGGAGAGAAGGAATAGAGCAAGCTGGAAAGTACATGAATGCCTGAATGGTATTTAGATGCAGTTGATTATTGCCATGGAGGAAAGAAGGCCACTGTTGACTGATCTAATTAAAATTAATGCATAAGACATTATATGTGCTTACATTGTGCAGGCCGCATGAAATCTAGCTGGCCTGTGGGAATTAAACTGTCCTTGAAGGTTTTAAGAAGACATTCCTCTGGAATATTAACCCTTTTTCAGAATTTCATCCTTCTGGGAGCTTCTTCTCTCCTGATGTTTTCAGCCTCTTGTTTCTTCATTTGACAAATTTATTTAAAAACAGCTTGCTAGGCCAGCTACCTGGTGCTTTTTGCAAGTTTAGTTCTCCATCTTGAAATATATATGCATCTCTTGGTATAAGAGTGGAGTATAGATGCCTTTGGATTAATTCTGTTTTTCTCCCATTTAGTTTCTAGTCCACTTGATTTCTTTTTCAAGACTCTAAACACATCTTTCCTTCTTTAAACTACAGTGCTATTCCCCACTAGTCTGGCTTCAGTGCCCACTCTTGTTCCATTCCTGGATCCTGGACTCTTGTCTCTACGTACTCACATTGTCTTGTTTCCTGCTATCATCTGCCTTATTATGCCCAGATCTAAAATTAGCTCTTGGTTTCTCTTAAACGCTCATTTTTTTTAAGATTTATTTATTTATTTGAGAGAGAGAAAGTGAGCGCATGCAAGCAGGGGGTGGGGGCGGAAGGAGAGAATCTCAAGCAGATTCCCAGCTGAGTGCGACCTGAGGCTCAATCTCACAACCCTGAGAATATGACCTGAGCCGAAACTAAGAGTTGGATGCTCAGCTGACTGAGCCACCCAGGCGCCCCCCCCTTTTAAAGTTTTATCTAAGTGATCTCTACACCCCGTGTGGGGCTCAAACTCACAACCCCAAGATCAAGTGCCCCTAAACTCTCCTTCTTTATAGGTAGCTACTAATCATCTTTCCCTGCTTCAGTGTCCTTTGGCCATTTAAATCTCAGTAGCTTTGATGATCCCAGGGTCCTGGGATCGAACCCCACGTCAGGCTTTCTGCTCAGTGGAGCTTGCTTCTCCCTTTCCCTGCTGCTCCCCCTGCTTGCACTCTCTCTCTCTGTCAAGTAAATAAAATATTTTTAAAAAATAAAGAAAGAAATCTCAATAGCTTCAGAACCAAACTTACTTTTTGCTTCCACAGAGAGGGGAGGATGATACTGGAGCTGAATCTTATAAGGCCACGTAGGAGAGGAGAGAAGGAATACCTTAGCGTGTGTGTGGGTACAGCAGGAGATGGTTAGACTGGGTCCAGGCAGTGAATGGCAGAGTCTACCCGACGCTTACAAGGAAGCTTTTTAACAGAGTAACTAGATCACTTTTGACTTGTGTTTTCATTGACTCTCAGACCAGAGACCTTATCTAAACTCAGTCAACAGTATTGATTGAGCACCTATGTTTGCCAAGCACTATTTCAGATATTGGGAGAACAGAGATGGACAGGACCATGTCTCTACTTTTGTGGAATTTACAGTCTTCTGCTTTTATGTACGTGTGTATGTACGTATGTATGTATGTAATCTTTACGCCCAACATGGAGCTCGAACTCATGACCCGGAGAGCAAGAGACATGCTCTACCAGCTGAGCCAGTCAGGTGCCCCCAATCTTGTGCTTTTTAAATTGTTTTTTACCAGGAAGTGTTCAGTAGGATGGTTTTTGACTATAAGAATGAATTTTTAATGGTTCAAGTCTTTGAAATGAATGGAGGGAATATTGCTATATTATCTTGCTACATTAAAGATTTGGAATGTATATTTTTATGGAACAACAAAACAAGTAGGATTATTTTAAGTTCTTCAAATCCTCATATTTCAGGTGACATATATTTATGCATAAGTGGGGAGGTAAGAATTAGTATTGTTCTGAGATTTTGAATGTTTTTATATTTCAAATTCTTCTTTTCCAGGTGTCCTTCTTCACGTCATTATGGAATCACCCGTTTTTCACCATTAGCTGTATCACTCTAATAGGCTTGTTCTTTGCTGGAATACACAAGAGGGTCGTTGCACCATCAATGTATCCTTTAACAGAATTGATTTTTATTCTCTGAATGAAATTAAAGCACCTTCTTGATCATCTAGGTGTTGTGTTAAAAGCTTATTCTTCATATGATAAATTTTCCTTTGACCACATTTTTTTCAGTATAGCTGCTCGATGTCGAACTGTATTAGCAGAATACAATATGTCTTGTGATGATGTGAGTATCTTTTACATTAGAAAATTATAGACGTGCATGAGAGGACTGACATGTTTTGGCATAAGTAAAGCAGACATTAATAAATTGTCTGCATGGGGCACCTGGGTGGCTCAGTCAGATAAACGTCTACCTTCCGCTCAGGTCATGATCCTGGAGTCCCGGGATCGAGCCCCACATCGGGCTCCCTGCTCAGTGGGGAGTCTGCTTCTCCCTCGGCCCTTCACCCTGCTTGTGCTCGCTCTCTCAAATAAATAAATAAAATCTTAAAAAAAATTGTCTGCATGGCTTAATAGTGGGAAATGTTCCTTATAGTATTGATCCTAAGAGCCATATTTACATCTCAGAAATTGAGATGCATCTAATAATCCGTAGTATCATACAGTTTAATTGGTAGAGTTGAGAATATAATATGTATATATATATATTTATATATATATATATACATATTTTTTTTTAAACACATAAGCTCTGTGCCAAGTATGGTGCTTGAACTCATGACCCTGAGATCAAGAGTCACATGCTCTACCACTGAGCCAGCCAGGTGACCCCAGTTTAGTCTTTCTTAATGACATAAAATCATGATGTGTCTTATGATTGAAGCCGTCTTAAATTCAATATACAGTGGTTCTTATTGGCCAAAAATGGCTTGTTGGGTGTTGGATTTGTAAACTGTTATTTATCTCATGGTATTTGGTATGTAGGATTTTTTTTTAAAGATTTTATTTATTTTTGAGAGAGAGGGAACACAAATGGGGGGGAGGGGCAGAGGGGGAAGCAGACTCTCCGCTGAGCAGGGAGCCTGATGCGGGACTTGATCCCAGGTCCCTGGGATAATGACCTGAGCTAAAGGCAGGCACTTAACCGACTGAGCCACCCAGGCGCCATTTTTGTAGGATTTTAAATTAGATCTCAAATTAATTGACAGACTATGCACATATAAACCAACTGTGTTTTTAAAAGTTAATCCTGTATTGACATATTAAGAGTATCTCAGGTTTGATTCACTTATGTTATTTATAAAGGTATTTTTACCTTCAAGTTAAAAAACTATCAAATAATACTTAACCCAGTATAGAAAATTAGAATAAAGAGCAAAAAAAAAAAAAAAGATACTAAGCCAGGAAGGCCACTGGATCAGTGAAGAGAATAAAGCTAAACACTTTGTTTTTTTTTTTAAATTAGCAGATAAGGATAGTATTTCAAGTCAAAAGGGAAGAAATGGGCTAATAGTGTTGAGGCAATTGGCTTTTCATTTGGAAAAAGGTGAATTTAGTTCTCTCCTTTGCATCAGTTAAAAAGACTAGATTCCACATGAAGTCTTAAATATATTTAAAAAGACATCCCATAATTAAAACAGGAAAATACGTATGAATGTTTCTTGGTTTTTTAAGATTTCTATATTAGAATGATAAATAATAAAACATGCACATACACGAGTTGGGGGAAGGGTAGAGGAAGAGAGAAACCCAAGCAGAGTCCCTGCTCAGTGTGGAGCCCAACATGGGGTTCTAGATCATTACCTGAGCTAAAACCAAGAGTTGGGATATGTAACCCACTGTGCCACCCAGGTGCCCTAGAGAGATGAATATGTTTATGATCTTGGTATAGAAAAACTTCTTTTTAGGACCCAAAACAAAACACCATCATGGAAGAGGTTGGATACCTTTAATTGTACCAACATTTGAAAATTTTGTACAGCAAAAGGCAAAAAATGAGCAGTGATTAGAAGAAAGTATTTGTGGGGCGCCTGGCTGGCTCAGTTGGAAGAGCATAGGACTGTTGATCTCGCGGTTGTGAATTTGAACCCCACGTTGGGTGTAGGGGTTACTGAAAAATATAAATTTAAAAAGAAGAAAGTGTAAGATATCTAATAGAGAATAGAATACAAAATATTTAAAGACCTATTAAAAATCAGTAAAAAAAAAGGGGATGCCTGGGTGGCTCAGTCAGTTAAGCATCTGCCTTTGGCTCAGATCATGATCCCAGCATCCTGGGATCAAGTCCCCCAGAGGGCTCCCTGCTCAGCGGGGAGTCTGCTTTTCCCTCTCCCTCTGCCTGCCTGTCTGCCTACTTTGTGATCTCTCGCTCTGTGTCAAATAAATAAAATCTTTTTTAAAAAATCAATAAAAATAGTACATTTGAAATGTGGGAAAAGTGAAGTCATATCACAGAAGTGGGAATATAAATAGCCTCATTTGTAATTGCGGAAATGCACAGTAAACCTGAGTTTTCTTTTTCTTTTGATTTTTTTTTTTTTTTAAAGATTTTATTTATTGAGAGAGAGAATAAGCATGAGTGGGAGGTCCGGTGCGGGGCAATCAGAGGGAGAGGGAGAAGCAGACTTCCTACTGAACAGGGAGCCCATGACAGGGCTCGATCTCATGACCCTGAGATCATGACCTGAGCCCAAGGCAGATGCTTAAGTGACTGACCCACCCAGGCGCCCCTAAAACTGAGTTTTCATTTGTCTTACCTACCTTCACATTGGCAGAAATTAGGAGTCCAGTACTGTGGTGAAGTAGGTGAACCCATGCACTGCTTGTTGAGAATATACACTGGAATAGCCATGGTGGAGGGCAGTTTTCATCATTCTCATAAAATGTAAAATTGGCATGTCTCATGACCTAACCATTCTACTTCTCTCCATCTACCCTCAGTGGGGACCATCACATGCACACAAGGGAGGCAGGTATGAGGTCGTTCATTGCAACATCCTTTGCAGTAGGGAAAAAATGGAAAACAGTTTTATGTTTCCCAACAAGGGGAATGGTGAAATAGGCTGTGGTATTGCCACATCACAGGACCGTAAGTAAATCTGTAAATATGGGCATGCAAGGATCTCCCAGACATGTTAGGTGCAAGACATAAACTACCAAACGATACACTCAGTTTGGTATCTTTTTTTTTTTAAGTTTTCCCTCCCCAGTACCATTTTCTTTTTAATTCTAGTATAGTTAATACGCAATGTTATGTTAGTTTCAGGTATACCATGTAGTGATTCAGCACTTCGATACATCACCTTGTGCTCATCATGACAAGTGCACCCCTTAATCCCCATCACCTGTTTCCCCCCATCCCCTCAAGCCATCTCCCCTCCTGTAACCATCAGTTTGTTCTCTGCAGTTGAGAGTCTGTTTCTTTATTTGTCTTTTTTTTCTTTGCTCATTTTTGTTTGTTTTTTCTTAAATTGCCCGTATGAGTGAAATTATACAGTATTTGTCTTTGTTTCACTTAGCATTACATTCTCTAGCTTCATCTGTGTAGTTGCAGATAGCAAGATTTCATTTTTTTTTTTATGGCTAAATAATATTCCAGTGTGTGTGTGTGTGTATGTGTCACATTTTCTTTATCCATAAAAAAGTTTTTTTTTTAAGATTTTATTTGTTGGGGCGCCTGCGTGGCTCAAGTCGTTAAGCGTCTGCTTTCGGCTCAGGTCATGATCCCGCAGTCCCAGGATCGAGCCCCGCCTCGGGCTCCCTGCTCTGCGGGAGGCCCACTTCTCCCTCTCCCACTCCCCCGCTTGTATCCCCCCTCTCGCTGTGTCTCTCTCTGAAGGAAGTTTATAAAACATAATTGAGCATTAGATACTTACACATTGCTGTGTATAACACAGCACAAGGGGGGGAGAGTGGGAGAGGGAGAAGCGGGCGTCCCGCGGAGCAGGGAGCCCAACGCGGGGCTCGATCCTGGGACTCCGGGATCATGACCTGAGCCGAAGGCAGACGCTTAACGACTGAGCCACCCAGGTGCCCCAGAAAAGTTTTAATTATGAAAATTTCCAGACCAAAAAAATGAGTATAATGAACTGTGTACCTGTTGGTTAGTGTCAACGATAACGAGCTCAGGGCCATTCTTATTTCATGTGTACCCCTGCCCACCTTCCTCCATCAGATTATGTTGAAACAACTCCCAAGTAGTGTGTTTTACCTTCAATATTTTAGCACATTAGAAACACCAGATTTTTTAAAAGATTTATTTATTTATTTTAGGGAGAGAGTGGGGAGGAGGGGCAGAGAGAGAATCTCAAGCAGGCTCCCTGCTGAGCACAGAGCCTGGCACAGGGCTTGATCTCACGACCGCAAGATGACCTGAGCTGAAACTAAGATTTGGATGCTCAACCGACTGAGCCAGGCAGCTCAGAAACATCAGATTTTTATTTTTTATATATGTGAATGTAAATATGTAGAACACAATCTGGAAGAATTCATGCTAAAACTGGTTTCTTTTGTAAGAGGGCTAGAATTTGAGATAGGTGGAAGGAAGGATTTTAGCTTACCTATATTTGAAAAATTTTTTAAATTGTTTGCTTATTTTTAAGTAATCCTATACCCAACATGGGGCTTAAAGTCACAACCCAAGGATCAAGAGTCATGCTTCACCGACTGAGCCAGCCAGGTGCCCCTGTATTTGATTTTTTAATAATGAGATTACATTAATGTGTTATTCATGTAATTTAAAAGTGTAAAATAGATTTAAACCATGGATAAAACAAATATTGGTCTATTCACACAGTGGAATACTGTATATTTTTTATCATGATAACAATATAAAATGGTACAAACTACTGGAACATAGTAACATGGTTGAATCTCAGAAACACATTGAGTGAAAGAAGTAGATGCAAAAGAACACACAGTCTATGATTCCATTTGTTTAAAGGCCAGAGACAGGCAAAATTTATGGGAAGAGGTTATGTCTATGTAAGGAGTGGGGCTGCCATTGACCAGAAAGGGGGGTGGAGGAACTTTCTGGGTGGGGGTGATCTGTAGCCTGATCTGGTTGGTGGTTATATGGCACACACGTGTGTGTGTGAAGATTTTTATTTAGTTAGCGCAGGAGCAGGGGTAGGGGCAAAGGGAGAAAGAATCTCAAGCCGACTCTGCACAGAGCCTGATGTGGGGCTCGATCTCATGACTCTGAGATCATGACCTGAGCCAAAATCAAGAGTTGGACACTTGAGGGATGCCTGGGTGGCTCA